GGTAACTGCACCGGAGCCAGTGTGAGCAAGGGGTAAGTCACCTTCTGCATGGAAACTCTTCCATACATACATGACATAGACTCTTCCATACATGACAAAGGTGAACACATCACTAAAGTGTGCAAGCTATTTATTACTGACATCTAGTGGGCTGGGATGTCATTTTACAACAAATGGTGTCCCATGTCTTAGGGAGAAAAACGTGTCTTGCACTTCCCTCATTGAGTGTACTTCACTGTTGAGGGAACATACTGGAGTGTTCTTAGAAGTAACTGAGAGAAATGTGACTGGGCCTATATTTCTGATCTAACAATGTGATGATTAGCATTAACTCTCAGGGGAAGGGATAAAATCAAGGCATTAAATCCAATTTAGCTATTAAGTCAACAGATCTTAGGTCATTTCCTCTAATAATTTTTTTGTGTTTGACAAAACTTTATTTGCAAAAATATAGATGATCAGGTAAACAAATCTAAATAATTCTTATTCAGAGATCATTTATGTAAAATGAAGCCTGTTATTAGAATATAAAGTACCACTTTCAATTACCTTACACATTGAAATAAATTAATTGATTAAAAACAGATTTAAAAATTCTGTCAAATTTTTGCATAGGAATTACAGTAAAAAGAACTACAACATGAATGCTTTAATGAATATGCAAATGTAACTTTTGAATCTGTAGATGTTGATGAAATGCACAAATATGTTTAATTTTTAAAACACAGAGCAGTTGAGAGACTAATTTGAATTCAAACAAAGAATGGAATCTTTGAACAGACTCCGCCCCAAATGATGTCATCACATCATTGTACATGCATAGAATTCCGTGTTCCTCATTGCTTGCTTTACTGCTGACCAGATCAGACGTAGCTAAGCCTTTTTCCAAGATAACCGTTTAGATAAGTTGTAGATTCACATTTTAACAACTGTAATTGTGTAGAAATGGCTCATCAATTTCCAAGACAACACAATGGGAGGACAGGACCCCAGGCAAGATGGGGAAATCAACAAAACCACAATGCGAGGATAGGACCCCAGGCAAGATGGGGACATCAACAAAACCAGCAAGCCTGGTTTCAACCTCCACCCGAGGATTTCTTACATGAGGAAATCCAAAGATTAAACCATCTTTTGGAAATGGAGAAAGGGAGATGGTTTGAGGAGAACCAAAAGGTAGTCGAACTGGAATCACAGTTGGAGGAGACAAAATCAGAGGTGAAAAGGCAGAAAAGTCTCAAAGAAATGTTTATCAACAAAGGCAAAGAGACAAAGAAGGAACTGGAGAGATTACAAAAGGTTAGTGATCCAGAGATCCTAAACTCTGCAGCCATTGCCGAAATAGTTCACAACGACATGAAATACAAGAAGAAAAAGATGCTGCAAAAAGACTTTGATGAACTGAAGGTGGCCCACATCCTCGTCCAACAATCTCTTACCTCACAAATCCAGGCAGAAAAAGACAAGAATATTGCCCTCCAGGAAGAACTGGACAAACTCAAGACTTCCTACCAGGAGCTTCCCTCCAAAAGTAAAGATGCTGCTGCAGAAATGCAGCATGTTGGGATTCAGACAGAGAATGAACAAAGAACCAGTGAGAATGAACAACTCCTCGAAAATCTCAGAGCTGAGAAGGAAGACGTCTTCCAAAAAATGTCTCAAGAGATCGCATCTCTGCGAGAGAGGGACACCAGTTTGCTGAGACAACTAGACCAGCTTCAAGTTTCATACCAAGAACTGAACTGTAGGTATGAAAAAGATGTTTCTGCATTAAAACAGCAAGCAGAGGCATATCAGCAGGAGCTAAACTGCCACAAAAATGCTAGTTCAGAGAGAGCAAGGCAGGACCTGCAGCT